GGGAGAAAACAAAGAACCTCAGAGAACAAGGGTGTTAAAGTTATTCCCATGTTCAGTTTTCTCCGCCTCCGTCTGATTTTATGTCAAGTCTGTGTTATGCCTTCATCTGGCAGGGCTGTAGCTGTTTGTCTCCGACCCCTTTAAGGGAAGAGAAGAGGTGCAGATCTGTCTTCTGGATGGATGGGCATGAAGAGATGCCTGAGGGGACCTGGTCTACAGCAAACTAGTTTTCCCATTCATTTAACGCTGCTCTGAGTGGATTTCATGCAAAATTTGTATTGAATGCAAGTGAAACTTTCAGTGAAAGTTACTTTATTTAATAAGCCTCTAAAATAATTAGGCCAAGCCTAACAGCTTTTCCACATTCAGAGAGGAAGGTTTTGAACAGCCTCTTTCCCTGGCCTGAGAACTCTGTGTGACTGCTCACACCATCATGCAATATATAGCAGTTCAACCATCAGAGAGCATAAGCTTTCTCTGATTTTCCTGCTAGGAGCTGCTGTCAATGTTTTTCCTCTTTCATCTCTGTAGAGAGGATGATAGCATATCTTCAGATTAATGTTTAGCAATTAATTTAGGGAAAGGAAATGGAAATCTTGATTTTTCAAAAATTCCTTCTGCAATGAATTTGCATGTGAACTGATTTACAATCTGGTATAACTGTAAGAGCAAGAAATGAAAAATGTATTTCATCTTCAATCTTAATTTTTAGTTATTTCAACTGTTGCTAACAAAATCAGTATGTGCTACAGTGTTTTTCCATATCTTGTAGAAAAGAAGAGCACGAATGCAATCATTTGCATGTTACTCCTCTGTAGTTATAGTTGGCTTTAAAATACATCAAGGCAGCTGATCATAGTCTCACTGATGAAGTAATTCTTGATTTACTGATCTAGTGTCTATAAAACTTAAATGAATCTACTCATTTTTGAGAGTTAAGTACACAAAATTAATTCTAATCAATTGTATAAAAGGCATCCCTTGAGTGGTGATCCATCATAGTGGATAACATTGCTGAAGAGAACAGTTCTGAAGAGAACAACTGGTTTTGCAGCTCCAGTATTTATGAGGCTTAGTCAAGAGCAGAGTCAGGATATGATAGTTCAATTTGTGATAGTCAGAGGTTTTTTAAAACTAAGTTGAAACAAATACAGAGTCATGTAATGGCTGTCTGGTATCTCATACGTCTCACAGCAGTGCTCTGACCACCAGCTGAGAAGTTGCAAAATTCACCTTTTGTTTTCCTCTACTAAGAACTTAATTGAAAAAAAATTATCTTTTTCTACAGAAAACATTTGGCATCAGCTAAATGGAATCTTGAAAGAAAGAAAAGAAAAGAAGGCAGTCAGGAATATTTGACCTTAACCTTAGTTTTCTAAATACTATAGGATTTTGATAACTTTTGAATGACAACAGCTGTCCCAATAGATAGATATTTATAGCATACTGGACTTGGGTTTTAATAATCTAGAAATCACATCATTTGTTTGATTCATTGCATCAATTTGTTGGGTTTTTTAAAGTAAGAACTTCCAGATTGACATCTACAGGGGGCTTTTTAAAAACAGTAATTTTTTTATGAAAAAAACCAAACCCACAAGTGTGAGTACTGATATAGAGCATTGGATAAGGAAGAAATTCCATATGTAGCCAATTCAGCTTTATACATAAAGCACTTCCCTCAAAGTACAGTGACATCTTCTGTGAAGGAAGAATAATTAAATTATACATCTCAGCTTAATGTAAAAGTCCCTCAGCTGAGCAATATCATATCAAAAATGCTTCCTAGAACTCTTGAAATAGTGTTTTTAAAGTATTTGTACTTTCGAGGGTGTCTTTTGAGATACAGAAAGGTAAATAAAAAGCTTTTGTCTTCATTTGTGAGCTTAGTTTCCCTCTTCATCTCAGCAACTTGACTGCCCTGTGAGATCTCCCCAGCAGTGGGAAAAGGCTTGGATGAGAGTCCCCCAGGTGAGGAGTGCTGCATCCTGGCACAGCCATTCGCTAGAGGGCAGCTGCAGAGTACATACCAAGTTTCCTACCCTCCCTCTTCTTCCCACCTCTCCGTGCAGTCCACGTGGATTTCAAAGATGTGATCAAGGAGGCACTCATGCAAAATCAGTGACGGTATACTTGTCTTATCTGAGGACTTTTTTTTTAAATTCGTCTCTCCTCGTTAGCCAGGGAAGAAGAATGAGCACTGATAAATTTGGTTTGCACTTATTTGATAGTTAAAAAACTTTGCATTCAAAAGGGATGAGGGCAGGAGATTAGAAGACATATGAAATTCAAGGACATATTTAAGAAGAAATATTCATTGCCAATTCCCCAGGGAAACCTTCCGTTTTGTTGTACTAGAGAAGGATATCCCAATTGATGCCCCTGTGTCACAGCTGTTATTTACTAGCAGAGGGAGAGTGGCTGGTTACAGGGATTTACATCTTGGGGCATTTTTCTGGGTTTAAGTGGAAATGTGCTCTTTGAGTCCAAAACTGTGTCTTAGAGCAAACTGCTAGTGGAATTTTTTCCAAAATAGGTTTTAGTGATTTTAACTGATTAAAAATAATAGACCCTATATATCCAAGACGTATATCATACTGTACTTTAGGGATACAGCAAATGGAAGAAAAGATGTCAGAAATTCCACAGTTCAATTTTAGAAAATGTTGCTGTATTTCCTACCTTTTTTCTCTTAATCTTTTTTTTTTTCTGAAACTAATATTAAAATCTGGCATTAATCTTGATAAAGTATGTGATGATACAAACATTTTTACTAATTTTTACTGCTGGCTAGCTTTCATGGATCCATTCATAAGTTCTTAGAAATTCTCAGTGTGCTGGCTCTTCAAACACAGTTACAGCTGGGTTTTGTAGCGATGATAGATTCTTTTGCATCTTTTATAAATACTGACTTATAAAACATCTCTAAAGAACAGTAATAATAGTAGATTATTTTCAGACCGTGTGGAATGCCTTTCAGCTTTTGTTCTCTTGCTCTTATTTTCCTGATTTTTTAGATTTCCTTCATCTAGTCTTCAGCATGTTGGAGGTTTGTTTTGAATTATTTTCTTGGTCCATCGGCTTAGTCAGTATACATGCCTTAGTTTTTTAATGTATGGTTTTAATTTATGTTGGGATCAAACACTATGGAATGCTTTTCTTTTTAATGCTGAGAAATGGAAAAGACAGTTGAATTGAGTGATTCGGGCTGTGATCGAGCATATATGAATGTATTCTATTTACCAAATTGAGAGACTAGACAATTTAGATGTAAAGTGTAAAAAAAGCATTATGTTTTTTCTCAATTCATGGTGCTACATATTTGCTGAAAGATCTAGGTTTTTGTTATTTCTAGTCTTCATAATGCAGTGTCTTTCTCACGTAAAATTTGTACGAGACATCATTCAATTGTACTACATTTGATTTCATTGTTGCAGACCTTGCCACTGTAATATGGTAAATAATGCATGCTAAGTAACGTGAACATAGATCTCCTTGTTCAGGTAGGCTGCCTGTGCAAACCTGAGGTTTCCTACCTTCACTGATGCTCTTGACCTTGATGCACCACCCTGTCTTTTGTCAGCTATTGCCTTTCATCGCTCTAGCCTCTTTTATTCCTTCTACTTTCCAGATTGCTTTTTTAGCAGTTCAGTTAGTATGTAGGCTTGGATCTTTTCTCCTCTTTGCCCTTTCCATTCTTCCTTTATACCCATTACTGATTTCTGGTCCACACTCAATTTCAAATTTGTGTTTATACACAGCTTTTAAATCCACCTCTCTGCTTTTAATCTTTCTTCTTGTACTGTCTCCCACATCTCATTCTTTTGCTATTTATTCTGTAAACACAAAACTCATGCCAGATTACTCAATGCCTTTACTTGAAAACTCATGTCAGAGTTGGCGGTGTCATCATATTCATCCTTGTCAGGATCATCTATTACAACACTTTTGGCTTTTCACTGGTTTGGGCCCTGAACATGCAGGATGTTTTTAAAAACAAACAAAAGCAATGTAGGTGTGGATTAATGGTATAAAGCTTTTGATTGTTAAGTACCTGGGATACAGATACTCAAGAGCAGCAAAGCATTCTTCCCAAATGAGTGTCACTGAGGAATTTGGGCTCAGAATGTGTATGTAAAACAGGAGAGGCACAAAGGAGTATCCTGTCATTTTTAGTTGACAGGTAGCATCTCATTCTGCCAATCTGTCACCAGGAATCTTTGCTGTTTTCTTAAAGAGGAAGAAAGTAGGAGCTACGAGGCCAGAGAGTCATCTGACATAATTTAAAGAGTCTGCAGAGCTACTGAAGCTATAGTTTCTCTGTGCTAGTTTGGACTGTAGCATTGCCTGGAGTTGTCCTGCCTCCTACAAACACTGTATACCAACCAGGGTCCTGAAATGCATCCTTGAAAGGACCCCACTATGGGTATGGAAGGCAGGAGTCTTCGGAATTGTTGGTACTGCACTGCTCCTTCTGTCAAATAAGTTTTATTCAGCCCTGGGTCTTTTATCTAAAAGAAAGAATTGGGAAGGGCATGAAACTTCTTATAGTTTTTTTATAAAGAAGAAGAGCATTCTAGCATCTGCAGTGGCCATGGGATTAAGATGAAGATTGCTGAACTTCTGTGAGATGCAGCAGATTCCTCTAAATGTTCTTGAATGCTTTCCAAAGCATCTTCACGCTCAAAGCTGTATGTAATGCAGAGGCTGATGTTGTCTTCTAGGGGCCAGTAGTAGCCCGAGTCCCTTGGTACACAGGGACAATAGCAGTTCTGCAGGAGCAGAGCATTACTGGAAGCCTCCTGGCAGTAGTGCCAGGCTCAGGCTGGCCTCACCTCTGCAGCTAATCAGGTTGTCAGCCTCTGGGTTTCAGTGTGGAATCATGTTTGCAGGTCACAGAATTTTGTTTTTGAAAGCATCAGTCAGTGGTAGGTTCACAGCATGTTAGAGTTTATTTAGGGTATTTTCTCTCTTTACCTTTTTTTCTTTTGATGTTGCAGGAAATATTCAGGAAGTCATTTTACAAGAACACTTGGAAAAAGAAGATGAAATTCTGGTTTCCTTGGCTGGTTTGAAGCAGGTACTACTATTGCTTAGCTTAACCTTCTTGTGCCCTTCAGGGCTATTCATCCTTTCTGTTTTTTCTCCTATTTTATTCTTTTTGTATAGTGCTGTTTTGTGTTTTTGTAGCTGTTTTACTAGGGCATCAAGCATTGTGATGTACTTTTATTTATAAAGGTAAAGTTCAGCTATAAACAGTTTAAATTATTTGCTCAGTATTTGCTCCTGTGAAAGTTTTGGAGGCCTTGAACCAGAACTGAAGAAGTGCAACCCTGAGTGCTGGACTTAAGCCACGCTATCATCTTTCTTAATGAAAATGTACTTGCTAGGCAGTAACCGTGCCTATGTCCCCATTATTTAAATGTGACAACACTTAATGTCATCGAATTAAAGAAAAAATACTACATACTTAAAATGAGAATGCTGCTGAGCATCTGTAGCTTTGATTATACTGTCCTCTGCTCTCAAAATACATTTTATGAGGAAAAATGTGGCATATGTTAAACGTATAATGAGGTAGGAAACAATCTTAACAGTTTCATTCTCTTTAGATTTCTTGTTTTCCAGATTCTGATACAACCACATTTAACAGTTATTTGTATCTTTAATCAATATAGATATGAATATTGACTTGCTTCCTGTCTTTTCAAAGCAAATATTTTGGGGAAATGGTTTATTGAAAGCATTCTGCACAGAACTTTAGAAAATACAGAATTTCTCCAAATTTTTAACTTACATTCTTTCCCCTCCCATTCAAAACAGATCAAGGATATCCTGAAGGGTTCATTGCGTTTCAACCAGAGCCAGCTGGAAGCTGAAGAAAATGAGCAAATCACTATTGCCGATGATCACTACTGTTCCAACAGTCAGAACAAGGGGGCAGGTGATGTCCTAAAGGGACCTGTTATAACAAAGCAACAGTTCATCTCAGGACAACAGGTAAGATAAAAACATCTCAAACAGGCCATTGGTGGCCTTCCATTTTTTACTAGCGTGTCCAGATATTACATGGGACACATCAGCATTCCTGATGCTTATGGAGAGTGGTTGGAAGTGTATCTTTAGCCAGTGTCCTACTCCCATCAACTATTTTTATTGTAGACTTATGCTCCACATGTGGATATTTAAGTCTAAGTGTTAAGTGGTGTTTGGGGGGGAGTTACTCTTTCACATTGTTTAATCACAAAATCACAGATTAATGTCTTACAAAAAAATGTAAAAATTGCAGGTAAATGTTCCCATACCAAATGTTCCCACATGATTATTCTCATTGTCCTTGTCCTCCAGGATCCCATTATGTAAGAGCTGATTAACTGCATTGCAGTGTATTCATGGCTAGGGCCAAAAAGGAAGTAGCAAGGAGGTTGCTTTTACCTTCTACTTCATTGTATTGACTTTCTCCTTGAATCAGTAAACAATGTTTTCACATAGAAAGCATACAGTCATAGGACAAGTTCATAGACAGATGTATTTTCCTTTGATGCTGAAAGGTCCTCTGTCTAAGACTCAGTCCGACTCAAACAGTATCTTAAAAACAAGTATTTTGTATATGCTTATTTCTATATTGGAGTTCTGTTAAGTCTGCCACCCCACTGCTGAAATTCACACTTATAAATCAGCGGCAGCACTATCACCTAAAAGTCTAACTGAGCCTGCCATCAGTTTACTTTTGACAAGTTTACTTAGGAACTACAGGAAGTATTTATTCATTTTCAGATAATGACACGGGATCATTTTGATTTATTACACACAATCCCCCTGAGTTAGAACACTCTATGTTAAAAAACATATTTTAATTGTATTTCAGTATTAGAAGCAATACTGAGATTTATTTTTTTATACTTAGTAATGGCACCTTCAAAGAGCAAAGCTTTGATAGAAAGCTTCCCTTGTTTGTTTAGCTGTTGTCATTACAATCACTACTTTCTGACATAATTAAGTGATAGGTTAAACTGATGTAGCATATTGGAATGTTCATATAATGACCTCCTATTTTTGTCCTTTATCTCCTGGCATTTTATACAGAGTACCTTTGGCTTTCTTCCCAAAATGGCAAATAATGTTTTTCTGATGATTTTTCACTTCTCGAAACTGGAAGATAGAATGATATATAACATGACAACATGCTGTATGTGTGTGTGCAGACCCTACTCATGCTGGAGAAACCCTTACTCAGAGGCTGGTCTAAACCGTGTATCATGGAGGTGCTGGAGATTTGCATTTTGGGTACTGGGAGTGGAGCAGGTGAAGCCTGGTCTGCACAGGTTTCTTTCCAATGGAAGCTTTTGGGGTGATGTACAGTGACATTTGTTCTTATCCCAGCGTGTAGTCAGGATATATACATGCAGCCCCAGGAACTGACTGGCATCTGTGGGTCCCACAATTTCAAAGGCTGCTTGTAAGTCAACTATGACCCACGTGAGTAGAGGCTGTACACGCTGAGCTGCTGCAGAGGATTAATGATGCATTGGCACTGCATGGTTTATGTTTGGAGGTGCAGGACATTAACATGGATTAGCCTCCTCTCCCCTTATCTTCTGGAAGTTCCAATTGTGATAATGAGAAACAGCCCCTTTGACAGAAGGAAAAAGATTAGAATTAGACATGACAGTCCAGGAGGACTGTTAGTATCTCTAGTTAGTTCGGGATACTTTGTCTGTCTGTCTCACTATCCCCTAGTTAGTCCATGCTGCTTCTGAGCCTATCATCTTTAACCACCATGGCTAAAATCAAACGAAAAGAGGAAAGCTTTGGACCCCTTTTAATAAAAAACATGAAAATAAAACTGCAGAATTTAGTGGATTGTGAAATTAGACTGTTAATTTATGGGTCAGTTGTTGGCCCAAACCAGGCCACAGCCCAGACTTTTAGCTCTGCTGAAGAAAATGGGCTGCCCTGGTACCCTGGGTCTTGCTGGGAGTACTTACTCAGAGATGAAAGGGGATTAAAAACAACCACTTCTACACCACTGAATGCATTTCTTGCTAAGTAAATTTTACTGTATTTGCATTTTCTGTGACTTTGGTAATGCATGTAATTCTACTTGGTGTGATTTATACTGTAGAGATTTTTCTGTGCTGCAATTATAGGGATATTTTCTAGGACAGCTGGAAAAGTTACAGGTGTAGCTATTCTGTAATTGAGATAAAATCTGGTCTTTTGTGCTTGGTTGTTATATAAGTATAAATTATCATTTTTGCTTTTTTTTAAAGTGCTCTTCCTCTTTTTTGCCTCAAAATCCCCTTCTGGAAAGTGAGGATAAAGGGTATAGCCCTTCTTTAGAAAGGAAAGCTGCAAAATTAAAAATGCAAAAAAAGTTAAGATAAAGGCTCGCAGAAATGGAGCATTTTTTGGAATGTTTGACTTTGGTAACAGTATGCGGTTGACAAACAGAAGGCTTCTGTTGCTAAATAATGAATGATAATTAACACATTATCTTGCCTTTATGTCTGTTCAAAGAAGGAGGCAAAACGAGCTGCTGTTCTTCTAAGCTTTCTTGAATTGTATCCTTGCAGTTAGTTTTAACTCATTCACAGTGTGAAGGCAATTGAAATAAGCCTGGTCCTAGTGGCTATATTCATCAAGAAAAATTGTTTGGAGAAGCCATATGGCAACGGGCGTAAGGTTGTTAACTTTCAAAGCTACTGGAAGTATAATTCTGTCATTTTTCATTTATTCAGTAGTGGCAGCAGATGGGAAAAAACATGCTTCACGTCAGCATGAGTTTCCTGAAACAGAAACAGGCAGAAGAAAAAGGAAGGAGGTATTTTACCTCTGGAAATATCAGTACCAAAATACCAGTGTATGCCAGGGATAGGCAAACATTTACAGGAGGCCCTTTTATAGCATTTTGGAGTCAGTATCTCTGCTTTGCTGCTTCTCTGGTACGTCAGTGAGCTATAGGTCTCCTTAACCAAACCAAAAAGTGTGGGTAGCCTGAAAAGTAGTGTTACAAAGCATAACACTAACGACAAGGAATTGGGATGAGTAATTTTCTTTCCTTTTTTTATTAAAGGGCAGGGTGATTTTTTTTAACTGCACAAGAGTGCATTTTTGAAAGCAGAATTTAGGAAATTGCAACAGCAGTACAAAGTGTTTATGATGGAGGGCCCTTCCTGAGGGTCATTGCCAAAGGCAAGACACCCTGTTATCTTTGGGGGTGCCAGCGAGGAAAATACTGATCTTGATGAGCAGGTCTGTCACTAGGTAAGAACTGTGTTACCCTGCACAAGGAGGCGCCATCTCAGATGTGAGGACTTAAACAGAGCATTCTTGATAGGTTGGAATAATAAATTGGAATAATTTTGCGAAATGAGACTGTACTGCATTCCCTGGGAGCATGGTGAGACACTGGAACAGGTTTCCCAGAGAGGTGGTGGATGCCCCATCCCTGGAAACATTGAAGGTCAGGTTGTACAGGGTTCTGAGCAACCTGATCTAGTTGAAGATATCCCTGTGCCTTGCTGTGGGAGATGGACTATGTGACCTTTAAAGGTCCTTCCAACCCAAACTATTTTATGATTCTATTTTGATGGAGCAGAGCCAGGGCTGTGTGCTGCCTGTGTCCTCACCCCCTGGAGATGGCAGCTGACTGACTGACAGCTCATGAAGACAGCATTTCAAACAGACAAGATGAAAGCAAAAGGCTAATTAACAACAAATGGTGTCTCAGCTCAGAAGTGTTTAAATAGTGAAGTATCTCTCCTTGAAGAATGGATCTGTTCGTTTTTAACTTCATGGAAACTGCTTGAAGTTTTTGACATTTGAATTGCTCTGGTTCTGCATGGATCAGGAAGTTTTGAGATCAATTTTGATAGTGTTCAGCAAAGGCTAGTTGTTGATATTTCTAAAAGCAATCTGCTGGGTTTTGTATGAATTTTATTGTCATCTCAGGAAAATGAATTTGTATCAAAAAGTAATAGATGTAAATTTCTATTGGTGTGATGACTGTCTTGCACTGGGACTTGTAAAATTAAAAGAAATACTCTGGACTTAAGATATTTCCATTTGAATTACAAAGTATTAAAATTAATTTATTACAAAACAGAATACTGTACGTTACACTTATAATAATAATAATATAATATATAATATTATAATATATAATATTATATTATATTTTGTAATTATACCTATATACTTGCAGATAACATGCAAAAATTATAAATTATTAAACCAGAATATTTTCAAAATTTACTAGAAAGGGAGATATTTGAATCCTTATTCATATAAATTTGGGTCACAATTCTGTAATTGAATACATTTTCCCATTCAGCTTTGTGACTTTTAACAATTTGTAGCTGCTATGCAAATGACAACCAAAGACTTCTAGCTCCTTCATTTTATTGTACAGTCATTCTTAATCTCAGATGGGTTTTGCTCCCTGAGCTACTCTACAGTCCCCTTTCAAGAAGTTCTGATCTATAATAAGTAATCAAAGCAAGAAAATAATTTTCAGCTGTAATAATAAATTTGTCAAAATAAGTTTTGCTAGAGGGCATGGATACCGTAACTCCACTTATCACTTGCTGATGCTTGTGATGATCTCCATACTCCAATTTTACTTATGTTGAAGACCCAAGTGTATCTCATTCATATTATTCCTGTTGTTCTCTTCTGTAACTGCTTTCTTTTTTCTGTTATACCCACAATCTCTCTTTTACACCAAAGTGAATTTAAATTTTTTTGTTTGTTGAAAGAGTCACAGCTGAAGGGCTTGTATTGCTACATATGTGGACATACACACTTCCCCAGCTGCCCCTCCACTTCTCCTTTTTCTCAGTCTTGCATTCATGTAATCAAATATATTGGTTTCAGTATCACACCACTTCAGGATGCTTGTACCTACAAGCTGCTTGGCAGGTTGCATTATTACTCTGAAAAAAAATTGTGTGGAAGCAACCAAGAAAGCAGTCATGCTCTTGTTAGGGAAACATAGCGCTAGACAGGAGTTGAATGCCTCTCTTGCAGAAGAAAACAAAGCGTTGTCCTTTTGGGTTGCAACCAAGCTAAAAGACTGCCAGTTTTCAACACATGAGAAATCCCATTTTACTGTATATGGCAGTCTTCCTTTCTAATTACGTATAGCTCTGATTGGAAAAGCTGGGTTTCTCCTGAATATGGCTAGTATAATGGAATATAAGATTGCGACATCATGGAGTTTTCTGATACACTGATGTGTGGTCTTTATCCACTACCTGAATGCTCAGGGACACACATTTCCCAAGGTCTAACCAGACAGAATTGGGATTCCCAGATCCTCATTTTCTTGAAAGAGTTAGGAAATATTCAACAACGCTAACCCTAGAAGCCCCGGGAGCCCTGATCTTTTGAACACAAACTGGTTCACACTAAACCGGTCTAAGTGTGGCTGAGATTCCACAGGTCAGGGTTTTACTAGGAAATTTGATATCAAACCATTCCTCTGACAAGATCCAAAATGCCATTGTTCATGCAAACCAGCAAAAAATTCCTCAAAACTACTTCTACTCAAAACTACTTCTAATTACTGCAGAAAACCAATATAATTACTGAAAATCTTCACAGCTGTAAAGTATGTGTTTGATACTTAGCTGCTGTGATCACTACATGGATGCACTGTGATGATAAGACATGTAAGACTGCTATACCAAATAAAGTATTTTTAGAGCGTTACATTTTATGCTTTTGTGAATAAGAAATAAATTACGCCATCTGAAGTTAATATCCGCTTTATTTTTTACTTTATTTGGACATTGCTACTTTTGGATAATAATTATTCGTTTGTCCCATTTCCATATCCCCGACATACATCATAAAACTTGTTAGTTGGTAAAATTGGTACACACTTTAAGTCCTTTCTGTGCTGTTGTCTCACAGACTACGACTGACTCGAGCACTAGTGAGAGCAAGAGTGCTGATGACTATATTATGGTTTCCAAAGAAGAGGAAGGAAGTAAAAGTGCTGTTCCGGAGCCAGTGCAGTCCCTTCAAGCACACAAGGAGTCAGTGGTGAAGCCAGAAGCTCCATCTCGTTCTTCTTTGATATTCTCTGACCCACTGATGGGTTCAATTTCAGCCTCCTCCAGCAACCTGAGCTCCAGCCCTGATGACGACAGCAGTAACAACAGCAAAGATTCTGACTTTGCTATTGTCAGCCCACTGGACATCTAAAGAAACAGGTTGGGAGAGTTTGGGAAGTCAGTCATTACAACTCAGTTCAAATTCCTATGATTCCATGGGCTGGATACTTTGTTGGATTAGAAGGGCAGAAAATAGATAGAGGTAACCCATTTCAGCTGCCAAAAGCCTAAATTAAAATAAAAAAAAACAAAAAGGCAACACAAATTTGACCTTTTTGAAAATAATATACACCTTTTAATAACTGCCTTAAATAATGACTCAGTAAAACCCAGTTCTAATATAGTGTTATTCTTAGTTATGCTGTTACTTTACTTAGGAGCATTTTTGCTATAGAACTGTTGCTTTCCCAAAACATAGAATAGTATGTGCTAGGTACCATAATGGAAATGTGTAGATACTTGGCATCAGACCTGAAGCAGCAAAGACAAGCCAGATTTAATGTCGTCCTTTTACAAAATATACTTGACTGGGTATTCTGAGTAGGAAAAGGTACTGTTTCTTATGAGACTGTGATTAGAGAAGTAGGGAGTGAATATCAGAAAGATTAAAAGGATCATCCTGGTAGTAAGTTTGTTCTCCCTTAAGGAATCCTAGTTTCTTCATTTTCATCCAGCAATAGCCTGAGGTGTGTTCAAGGCAGAGGTTTGTGTAGTTGTTCCTCAGCGCTTACAGGAGGCTGTGTGACAAACTCCTTGAGAATGGGAAGCTGTACAACAGAGCCTTATTTCCCTTTGTCTCCTTTCTTTTTCCCTTGAGAGTCCCCAGTTCACCTGTTCCCCTCTTTATATTTGTCTACTTTTACTTCCCCTGGCATGAATTATTTTTTATTTTACTGAGACTACCACAGTTAAAACAGTAGGTGCAAGGGAAATAACAGTATTTCATAGTGTAGATCTGAGCCAGTTGAACTAAAACTAGCTTGAGTATGATAACTTACCAGGGAAGGTTGCAAAGTGAAATGAAATATTCATAATTAAAAGCACTTTATGTCTCATTGCTATTATCTTCTATAGACTCTGTTTACATATATTCCTATACAATTTCCATATTTCTAGTGAAGAAAACGTAATGGTGCAGCAGCGTTAACCAACAGAAAGTTTATAATAAACTCTATAACTTGTTCTTCTATGGAAAAGTGTATTTCTTTCCCATCAAGTAACTAGTGCATTTAATTAGAGCTTTTTCGAGTAGATAAGGGGTTTTTTTGTGCTCTCTGATCTCTTTAACCTCTGCTGGAATTCAGAAAATTAAACCAGTGGTGAGTGGACACCTCTTCTTGCAGGGTCCATACAGAGCTAGCTTGAGGAAGGAATGCTAGTATATCACTCTATAACAGCAGCAAAAAGAAAGTATTATTTGCTTTGAAGATGCATATACATTATACTATGCAACAACTTCATAATTGCATGACAAAGCTTGTGTTTATTCGAAGGTAAGAAATGGTAGTTATTTGCTGCTTAGTCTGTAACTGTAGATGGAGTGAAGTACCGTATTCCAAAGATGAGGTGATGTGTGATTTGCTGGTCTTAGATTTTACAAAGTCTGTGTCAGAGGCTGAATTGAAGAGTTAATTGTCATGTAATTACATAGTAGTTGCCATGTCCTTACATGTTCAAAAGCTGTCATGTAGTTCTTTGGAGATTATTTGTGCCTTGTAAAATGTTAAAATACTAGAATGTTATGAGCAGGCATAGCATCATACCTCTCTACAACAGAGTGATGCAAACAGTCAGATGACTATTTAGATGAAAGATCTTAAATGCGTAACATTTACAAAAGGTGTTTATTTTGGTTTAATTTTAAACTTCATAGAAAATCACTATGGAATTCAGCATGCATGCCTGTCTTCAGGTTTATTTTATTTCCCTGAGTTTGCATGAATGCCAGGGGATTAGGGGGCTGTTGATTTATTTAGGTCTTTCAAGCTTTTCTAGCCTTAACCCATTAAGCAAGGCTTGTGCCACACCACCAAAAATGGGAATCTGTTCAAAAGCTACCTGTGGAAAGAGGAAAAAAATATTCTGGGGACAGAGAGAAAAATTTTATATTCTGTGATACATAAACCTTCAAAGATTCCAGTACTTTGGCGGGAGAAAATGTTTTTACTTCTTTTTTATTTTTTTAAGCATCAGTCTTTTGATTTCTATTCTAGTTGGTTGTTTCAGGGATCACATTGCTATTTTCTTGAACGGTCTCATTGCCAATGGAAGAGTGTGATTTGTACAGGTTTTTTATTTTTGTAAGTTAGTTGTATCTTTAATATTGTATATTTTAAAACAGCAGTAAAAGTCTGTAAAGATTTTGGGAGTTTCCAAGAAATTTTTTCTGATCAGTGAATACTGATGAGCTGAATGCATATCATGCCATGGGACGTGATAAAAATCTTCAAAAGCAGAGAGATGATTATACGAATAAGAACAGAGCAAATTCCAGTAAATGAATCTGCTTTGGCTGTACCATGTCCTTCCACATCTCAAACATGTTGTCTCTGATACTTGATCATAGTGCAGAGATAGTTAGAATTTTAGTATATTCATCAAGTTAGAAACTTGTAAGTTAGATAAAATGTCAAATCATCGTCCTGTCTTGTGTTTTGTTAAGAATATACTGAGAGAGAAATTGTCATTTAAAACATGAGATTATTCTTTTTCTCCAAAAATTACCTGTTCATAATGCTCATGGATAACAATAATCAGATAGAAAAATTATATGCATTGCAAATTACCGAGGAAAACTAATAAGGCATTAAGATATGTATCTGAGACTGTTGTACTGTATCTCATATCTGTAATTTATTACTTTAAAGTCCCTTGCATGTCATGTCAGTTGTATGTACTGCAGAACTGCAGTATCATATTTTGACTGGGTATTGATTTAGTCGTGGAGCTTTGCATCTTTACTCTGGAAGAACATCTCGCCCGCTTTATTAAAGAAAAAATTAACAAAGTTTCTGGGCTGCACTTGTGCTGTTTTCTCAAAAAAGAGGGAAAGCTCTTTGGCTAGAATACTGGAAATATTATTTCTGAGAGCTAGGGTGATTAAAAACTTCAAAACTATCGATATAAGCACAAAGTTTATTAATACTTTAATCTGATTTTATATATGTGATCCAGGGAATAAAACTGCTTGTCATTTATCTCAACTGAACAGTATGGAATATTTCCTATTTTTCCATGTTTCTTGTATCCGAAAATAACAAACCAGAATTTAACATGGTGTAACTTTTCTGCAATTTCATAAAACTCGTATAGTTTCATCGTTGTGTCTCAGTCACAGTACCTGTTTCTGTACAGTACTTATCTGAATATCAATACTTTATTTCACCCTCTTAACTGTTTCCTATGATTCTCCAGTATGTTCTCATTAGGTGGCACTGAGGCAACTATTTAAAAGATTACATTTCAGATTTAAAGTGTACTTGTGCCTGGCAGTTACAATGTCATCTGTTCAAATACAGCAATCCTAACATGAACAGATTTCCAAATTCTGAGTGTCAGCCCTTAAATAGTACTTCTGATTTTGTGCTGCATGTGTTGGTCTTGAATGAATGATTCTAATGTTTTATTAGACTTGAAAAGGTGCAATTTCATAAAATAAACTTCATTTGGCTACAGAATGGTAATTACACTGTCTTGTAATCTGTGCTGTTCTGTTGAGAGTGATTGTATACAGTCTCTGTATTAGTGTTTCCTGTGTCACGGAGGCTGCTAGGCTCCAGCTTCAGCAGTTAGCTAAATTTAGAGATGAAAGAGCATGAAAGAAGGTCATCAGAGAAACAGCAACTTCAAATGTGCACACAGGCAACTTGTTTGCCTGCTTCTTACAACGTATTTAACCACTACAATGGTAAGGGAGGTTTTAGGTATGTGGGAGGATCCTGCAAGAGGCAAAATGCACAACCCTGGAAATGAGCTAGAAGGGCTGCAGCTTGAGACTCTCTTAAACTGTGCGTTCTTTAAGGCAGGAAGCATCTTCTTCTCTGTTTGTACAGACCTTCTAGCATAGTTTGCCATGATCACAAACACTGTCAAGATGATGATGATGATGATAATAATAATAATAATAATAATGTACTCATTATTTCACCAGGTTTTGCTCTTTCAAACAGTGAGCTAGATTTAATTCAATAACAGTAACTCAGCTGATAGCAGTAGTGTAGTAGCAGAGAAGTTTGGTCCCACACTGCTAAAATAAGTGCAACTGAGGAGCAGTCACATAAATAAATAAATTAAAACCAAAGAAACCCCACACCAGAAACAGGACAAAATTATTGCCGAATACAAAAAGCTGTATTTCTTTCCAGACATATATGAAGTATAAGAAATGTTTTCTAAACTGTGCTTCAGGTAGCCCTTGTGTACCTCGTTTGACTACATCAGGTAGGTTTGTGCAAACCTATCTTTTTTTTTAGCTTTCAAAAGCCTAGTGATGCAAGGATGTGGGAAGCATTAAAATATGTCAGCTGCAGAGGGAAGACATTGCGGTTCCATTTTCTGTGAATGGTAAGAATTTGATCTTTCAAATCCCACTGATTTAACACTTTCACTGTCCTCCATGGTGACAACATGAAAAACCCTGTAATCATTTCCAGAGATCTGATGGGAACTCTGCTGCTTAAATCATCACATGCGGTTGTAGAGCTCTGAGATGAGAAAGTTTTCACAGCTTTGCCTTTGACTGTGAGCTTCAGGGACTCACTAACTCATGCAAAGAAGCATTCAAAGATACTACAAATTATCATGTCAGTATTTGAGACCTTTTGAAATATAAATGGCTACGTAATTTTGAGATGTAAGAATAGTTGTCACAATATCTTTACTTCCCACCTGCTGTGTTAGTTGAATTCAGCGGATGGGGAATGTAGTAGCATTTTCACAGTACCATTAAATTGCCCTTTAAAATAAGAGAGAAAATAAAGCAAACAGATATTAAAAGGCAGATTGTCAGACGTGTCATATAGCTTACTGGATAATATATACCTCTGTGCAATACTCAGGAACATTTATAATTTTTATCCATAAATGGGGGGACTTGCAACATGCTGGAACACATGACAGAAAAAGTAAATGAACACGAGCCTGTTTTTAAAACCATTTTTAAAGCTCCAAGGATAAAAATACAGCAAAAATATTTTTTAAAAATGTTTAAATACACACAAAACTTATTTAGACTTGCAAAAATTATCAGGTCTCAATAAAGTTTCATCTAGTTTAGAAAAGTTAGATGGAACTCCGGCCTCCAGGTAATAGCACAGTGTGACTTACAGAAGCACCTAAAGGTAAGAGTTTAGGACCACAATCAACTTCTACTTCAGACCAGTAACTTTCAAAATCTGGAGAAAATTAATTTCAGTGCATAAGTAAAGAATTGCACGTGTCTACGAAGTTGTGATGGGAGAGCCCCTCAGCAGACCCTCTTTCCAAACTTCTTTTGTTCTCATTTCCGACAGCCAAGCGCATATGGCAGTTTTGTGATACCAGGCATAATCCATAAAAACTTCAGCTGTTTAATCTTCTTGAATAACTGAATTTTCAGTCACTGTGATCAAAGGTAGCCATTCATCCTCTGAGGATTCCAATACCCTATGCCTGCAGCCTGGCCACCAGCCCAACCAGTGTGCTTCTTGTGCTCGTGTAAAATCTGAAATCTTATGAAAATCTCACAATAGCTTATACAGCAGGTGGTATCCATATTCAGTCCTCATGACTTCCCTGTGGTAAGCTTTATTGTAAGTTTTATTGCCTAATATTTTCTCTATCCATACTTCCGTTGTAATCTTTACAATCAAGAAAAAATAGAAGAATCTTGGCTTGACTCAAAAATGCTTTGCTTTTTCTTTCCTCCCTCTCCTGGTAAAATATCTTTGCAAAGGATTTTTGGTTCTTTTATTTGCAAAACAGCCTATGTGTATTTAAACTGCTTGTGAGGTGGAGTTCTGATATGTGTTGTCTTAAAAATGCTGAAACAAGACATTGATTTCTCCAAACCTTTTCCTGTACTAAGTGGGCCTTGAGTTAAGCATCAGCTTTAAAAATGAATGGGAATAGTGTGTATTTTCAATCTCTAAAAAGCAGCACATTTTGGTAAATGCGCTGGACTACATCTGGGTAAATAATACGCTACAGAACTATGCCCTTTTCTTTAAAAAGAAATTTAAAATTCACTACTCCCCCTAGTCAGACCACAGAAATGGCCTCAGGCCCAGGAGGTCTGTGTAGTGTGGTACTAGAACTTGTGTGTGTCCTCAGGAGGGGCCACAACTCTGAGGCAGGGTGCTCATGGACACAGGGGAAGGTGGCCCATGGTTGTGCTTGGGAGAAACGTGGGACACCCAAGGCCACACCACACTGGTGTGTGCCCCTGTGTGTGGATCATGGGAGGGCTCATACTTGAGCAAGGGCCGCGGGCTGCAGTGTTGACAGAAAGATGGATCAAAAGATGAAAATTAGTATTTGTTACCTTTCATGGATCTTTAAGCTTCAGAGTAAATAAAAATGGGAAAGCAATTGCTAAGCATCATTAACCATGCTGGCATTGCAGTCACTGCAATGTGCTTTCCTCAGTATTTTCTTTCTGTGGGATGCAAGTTTTGCATCATAGAGTGGCTTATAAGCAGAAAAGAAAAATCTCCTTTTTCATGTTTTGACACTTTTGCTGTATGTGAATATTACGGTTTTTTAAGAAATGTTTTTATTGTTATACATCCACAGAAAGATTGCAACAACTTCTCCATGTATCAGACATTTTGAACTAAGCAAAAGAAAAGAGAGAGAAATAGCATCTTTAAAATTCTTGTAATGTAAGTGTTGAGTTTTTTACTTGATGGGATTAGTATGTTTGGTAGCTTGCACCAAGTAGAAAACCAACATTCCAGACATGTTGGAAAGAGAAAAAATTTCTACAGTTTTTCATCTGTCTGAGCGTAGGACTCTGTTTGGCTAGTGCTTATTAAGGTGCATTTGGCCTTATTGAATAAAGGTATATGATGAATATGGCTTCTGCAGATTTTTTTTTAATGAAGAAAATCAGTACATGCTTTTGTATATAAAATTTCCTATTGTTTTCTAAAATCTTTCATTCTCTGTAAATACATTTTTGGGCTGCTTCTGTAAGATATGTCAAGACTTTATTTTCCCTTCTCATCATCCCCTGTCTTCCTCTCTGTGCCCTGGCATGTGTACAACCTGCAAAACCATCTCATCTCCCCACCTCTGCCTACCCCAGGGTGGGATTTATGAGAGGTCAAGTTGCAACTCATTTGGGGAAAACCACACCGAAGGATGTGAGGGTACAACACAATTCACAGCCTGGCCCAAATTAGCAGAATTGCCAGAATTGCCCAAATTGCCAGAAAACATTCATTGGTTCTCTGACCTTGCAAAGCCACAAACATACCAAAAGTCACAGGCTGTTGAGGAGTCGGGCCTTTTTTGAAGGGTAAGTATTCATAGGAAGCAGTCTGCATGATAGAGCGATGTACTGTTATTTGAGAATAACTTATCCTTTACCTTCACAATCAGAAAAGATGAGTATAACTTTCAGCAAGTTTATGAAATGCACAGCAAAGACCTCATAAGTACAGAGAAGCAGCCCAAAATTCTGTCATTTCATAAGCCTTTGTCATCAATGCACACTGCAGATGCTGACACGATCAAGATAAATACAGGCACTGGGCACTGGTGATAAAAATACAAACTCCAATGTCTGCTGAAAAAAGGCTGATGAGGCCAAATAGAAGCATAAGGTAGGAGACAGGTGAGTTCAACAAACTGTGAAATACCACCCCTTCAGAAAGAAATAATAAAAGTTTCAAGTATACTGGTTTTATATTCTCTAAGATAAAGTCACCACCTGGTTCAAAATTATTTCATTTGGAAATTTTATGTAATGCTTTACAGAAAATACAAAATGTGAAATATATACAAAACATATACAAGTAATTATTTCAGCTCATGACATTTTAAAATTCCTTCATCAAATCAGTGATTTTTGGATGGAGGGGAGCTTACCTTTAGTAAGAAATAAAATCTACATCAGACAGATTGGCCTGTGCTGCAGGATGCTCCTTGAGAACAGAGCCAGGCTTGGCAGCTTACACTCACAGCCAGGCCTCACATTTTATGGTGCTGGCTGCTGGATGTAGAAGGATTCTGACCTGAAAACCTCAGTCCTCTAAGAGAGCCAGTGAGCAGCACAGTCAGGGATAGTTCATACACTGAGGCAAACGAAGCTGGCTTTGTACATGCCCGGCCATCTGTCTGTATGGCAGACTGGGATGCTGTATCAATATCAAAACCATTAGCTGTGTGATTGGCATCCACCATATTTTGGGTGAAAGAACATTAGGTTAACCCAAGGTTATAGCAGTGTGCTGGGAAATGTCCTCCCTAACCTTATCATGCATGCAGAGCCACCGTGGGGAGAGGTAAATCCCCATTTTCAGAGCCTGCAGTTCGGAATTGTCTGTTCAATGCAGACACCCAACCTGCTTGGATCAGACCATCCCGAATGTAAATCAGCGCACTTCTACTGATGCCCACAGCCACAGCAGCTTATTCAGATCAAGGTATGTTTCTTTTTTCCTCCAACATCTGCTGGACTAGATAACCATGGGCATCAATG